CATACAATTGCTCATGGTAGTCTCTAATGATCCTTTAATTTCTGCGATATTGGTTGTAATGTCTCCTTTTTTTTTAATCTCTGATTTTATTTATTTGGGCCTTCTCTCTTTTTTTCTTAGTCTGGCTAAAGGTTTGTTAATTTTGTCTTTTCAGAAAACCAGTTTATCTTTTATATTGTTTTCTTCATTGCAATTTCATTTATTTCTGCTCTGATCTTTATTATTTTATTTTTCCTACTAACTTTGGGTTTTTTTTGCCTTTTTCTTCTTTTTTGATGTAGGCACCTATAGCTATAGACTTCCTTCTTTAATACTGCTTTTGCTGTATCCCATAGGTTTTGATATGTTGTGTTTTCATTATCATTTGTTTCAAGAAAATTTTCAATTTCCTTCTTAATTTCTTTATTAACCAACTGGTCATTCAGGAGCATATTTTTTAATTTCTATGTTTGTAGAATTTCCAAAATTCCTTTTACTACTGATTTCTAGTTTTTTTCCAATGTGGTCAGAAAAGATACATGATATTGTTTCCATTTTTAAAAATGTTTTCAGACTTGTTTTGTGGCCTGTCCTTGTTTTGTGGTCTATCCTTGAGGAATGATCCATGTGCTGAGGAGAAGGATGTGTATTCTGTAGCTGTTGGATGAAATGTTCTGTAAGTATCTATTAGGTCCTTTTGATCTATAGTGCAGATTAAGTTTAGTGTTTCTTCATTGATTTTCTGTCTAGATGACCTGTCCACTGCTGAAGGTGGGGTGTTGAAGTGTCAGGCTATTATTGTATTTGGATCTGTCTCTCTCTTTTGCTCTGATAATATTTGCTTTATGTATCTGGGTGCTCCAGTATTGGGTGTATATATATTTACAACTGTTATATACTCTTGCTGAATTAACCCCTTTATCATTATATAATGACCTTCTTTGTCTCTTTTTATAGTTTTTGTCTTGTAATCTATTGTGTCTGATATGACTATTCTTGTTCTTCTATGGTTTCCATTGGCATGGAATATAATTTTCCATCCCTTTGTTTTCAGTCTATATTTGCCTTTACAAGTAAAGTGTGTTTCTTGTAGGTGAAACAGATTCTTAGGGTTTTGTTTTCTTATTCAGTCACTCTTTGTCTTTTGATTGGAGAGTTTAGTCCATTTACATTCAGTGTTATTATTGATACGGACTTACCTCTGCCATTTCGTTATTTGTTTTCTCATCGTTTTGTGGTCTTCTCTTCTTTCCTCTTTGTCTTTCATTGAAGGTGGTTTTCTCTGGTGGTGTGTTTTAACTTATTGCTTTTTATTTTTTGCATATCCATTGTATGTTTTTAAACTTGAGTTTACCATGAGACTTGCAAATAATATCTTATAACCCATTACTTTAAACTGATGACAACACTGATTGCATAAACAAATAAGCCAAAGGAAAGCTAATAAAAATTCTAAACTTTAACTTCATCTCCCTACTTTTTACCTTTTTGTTATTTCTATTTATATCTTATTGTACTGTCTGTCTCTTCAAAAGTTGTTGTAGTTATTTTTTATTGATTCATCTTTTTGTCTTCCTACTTATCCTATAAGTAGTTTATATACCATAATTACACTGCTATAATATTCTGTTTTTCTGTGTACGTACTATTACCAGTGAATTTTGTACCTTCCAATTCTTTCTTCCTTATTAATGTCCTTTTCTTTCAGATTGAAGAATTTCCTTTAGCATTTATTGTAGGATAGGTCTGGTGTTGATCAAATTTCACAGCTTTTGTTTGTCTGGGAAAGTCTTCTCCTTTAGGTTTGAAGGACATTTTCTCTGGATACACTACTCTCAGGTAAAAGGTTTTTTCCTTCACTTTAAGTGTGTCATGACATGCTCTCCTGGCCTGTTAAGGTTTCAACTGAAAAGTCTGCTGCCAGATGTATTAGAGCTCCATTGTATGTTTTTTGTTTCTTTTCTCTTGCTGCTTTTAGGATCCTTTCTTTATCCTTGAACTTTGGGAGTTTGATATTAAATGACTTGAGTTAGCCTTGGGTTAAATCTGCTTGATGTTCTAGAACCTTCTTGTGCTTGAATATTGATATTTTCTCTAGCTTTGAGAGGTTCTCTGTTATACTTTTGAATAAACTTCCTACTGCTATCTCTCTCTCTAACTCCTTGTCTTCAAGCTCACTAATTCTTTCTTCTGCTTGATCAGTTCTGCTATTAAGAGACGGATGCATTCTTCAGTATGTCAGTTGCAGTTTTCAGCTCCAGAATTTCTGCTTGATTCTTTTTAATTATTTCAGTTTATTTGTTAACTTTATCCGATAGGATTACCAATTCGTTCTCTGTGTTATCTTGAATTTCTTTGAGTTTCCTCAGCACAGCTATTTTGAATTCTCTGTCTGAAAGGCCACATATCTCTCTCTCTCCAGGATTGGCCCCCTAGTGCCTTATTTAGTTTGTTTGGTGAGGTCATGTTTTCCTGGATGGTCTTGATGCTTGTGGCTGTTTGTTAGTGTCTGGGCATTGAAGAATTAGGTATTTATTGTAGTTTTTGCAGTCCGGGCTTGTTTGTACCCATCCTTCTTGGAAAGGCTTTCCAGGTATTCAAAGGGACTTCAGTGTTGTGATCTAAGTTTCTGGTCACTGCAGCTGTATCTGCACTAGGAGGCACCCCATGCCCAGTAATGCTGAAGCTATTGCAGACTTTTAGAGGTACTACCTTGGTGGTCTTGGATAAAATCCAGAATTCTCAGGATTAGCAGGCAGAAGCTCTTGTTCTCTTCCCTTACTCTCTCCCATATGGAGTCTCTCTCTCTCTCTTTCTCTCTATGTGCTAAGCTGCCTGGAGCTAGGAGTGGGGTGATATAAACACCTCTGTGGCCACCACTACTGGGAATGTGTTGGGTCAGACTTGCAGCTAGCACAGCACTGGGTCTTGCCTAAGGCTCATTGTAACTACTGCCTGGCTACCACCTTTGTTTGCTCAAGGTGTAGGGCTCTACAGTCGGCAGGTGGCAAAGCAAACCAGACTTTGCTTTGGTGACCTTCCTTACCTTCAGGGTGGCAAGATCCCCCAGGTCATAGTCAGGTCCAGAGATGCTGCTGTCCAGGAGCCAGGGCCTGGACTCAGATGCCTTAGAAATCTACCTGATGCTCTATTCTACCACAGCTGAGCTGGTGCTGAAACCACCAAAGTCCTTCCCACCCTTCCTTCCCCTTTCCCCAGGCAGAGGGGTCTCTCTCCATTTCCACCACTACCACAGGCCCATGGGAGGTACTGCCTGGCTACCGCCAACATCCACTTAAGGCCCAAGAACCCTTCAGTCAGCTTGTGGTGAGTGCTGCCAGGCCTGGGACTCACCCTTCGGGGCAACGGGCTCTCTTCCAGCCCATGGCAGGTCCAGAAATGCCATCCAAGAGCCCTGGAATCGGGGACCACAAGAACCTTCTTGGTGCTCCTCCCCACTGCGGCCACGCTGGTACCTAAGCTGACCTTTGATTCTTATGAAGATGCTTTTTGTGTAGATCCTTATCAAATTTGGTGTTCCTGAAGGGAGGATGAACAGTAGAGGCTTCTGTTTGGTTACCATGCTCTACCTCCTCTCCAACATACAGTTTTTTACAGTAGATCTGAATAATATGTCTTGTCTTTATTACTGATTTTATTGTGCTGATTAAAAATGATAATAATCTTCACAATTATATAATTGTTTTTTATATAAAAGTACCAAGAAGTAAGCATTTGGTCTTCTGGTGTTTCAAGAGATGAAATGGGCCGGGCGCGGTGGCTCACGCCTGTAATCCCAGCACTTTGGGAGGCCGAGACGGGCGGATCACAAGGTCAGGAGATCAAGACCATCCTGGCTAACACGGTGAAACCCCGTCTCTACTAAAAAAATACAAAAAAACTAGCTGGGCGTGGTGGCGGGCGCCTGTAGTCCCGGCTACACAGGAGGCTGAGGCAGGAGAATGGCATGAACTCCGGGGGCGGAGCTTGCAGTGAGTGGAAATCGCGCCACTGCACTCCAGCCTGGGCGACAGAGCGAGACTCTGTCTCAAAAAAAAAAAAAAAGAGATGAAATGGAAGCCAGATAGTAGATTTTGCTGTATCTCTAGTTATGACCAAATTTATACATGTTATTACTCCAAAAAGTACTAGCAGCAAGTAATGAAATGATTTCATGGCATGTATAAATGGTGTCAAGTCAAATGATAACTCTGAGAACTTAATTAAAGATGATCTGAGGGAAGAAAACAATGCTTTTCTTTTTTTATGGCACATCCACAGGACCACAGTTCACAAGCCACAAAAGTCATTTGAAAAAATGTCTCATGAGACTTGCCCTTCATAGCAGCCTCTCAGTTCCTGGCATTCCACATTATTGGAACAGATATGACATTTTACATTCTTTTTGTTTCATGTGTGTCTGTAGTCCTGCTGTTCGCGTAGTGCTCTAGCATAGCAGGAAGCTTTAGTGAAGCAGCTAAGAGGGCAGGCTCTGGAACTTCTTAGCTGTGCAGTCTTGGGCAAGTCACTTAACTTGGCTCTGTCTCTTCATCGTCTACAACAGCAGTCCCCAGCCTTTTTGGCACCAGGGACTGGTTTCATGGAAGACCATTTTTCCCACAGAACTGGGGGATATGGGGTGGTTTCTGGATGAAATGGTTCCACCTCAGATCATCAGGCATTAGATTCTAATGAGTGCACAACCCAGACCCCACACATGCTCAGTTTGTAGATTCTACAAAGTAAGAACAGAGGATCCACCTCTTAGAATTGTGCAAATTAAGTTATTTAATTCTTATTAAAATATAGAGCACAGTTTCTAGCACCAAGATAGCATTTAACAAAAGTCAGCTATTATTATAGTAGACAATGAATAACTATTGAGTCAATAAAAAGAATGAGGTCCCTGGTCATGTAAATTGGCATCATCCTTCCTAATCTGGGTTCACATATTAGAGGTAAGTTTAACTTCTGATTTTCTTTAAAACATTTCATTGAAGATATAGCCTTTTTTTTTCCAGGTGCTGTCTTCGCAGGTGCCATGCCTACAATGGCAAGTGTCAAGCTGTCAACACTTCATCCCATTGTGAATCATCCACTTTACGAAGATGCAGACTTGAGGTTGGCAGCCGATGAGTATTTCACCAAGACTCACTTGGTGACTCCCAATTCTTAGGAATTTGGAACATTTTTATACACACACACACACACACACACACACACACACACACACACAAACTCATCCTTATTTTCATGCTGGAAGTTAAAAAAAAATGACAATAACCAGTCCAGAAATGACAATACATACCTGTTGCCTCTGGAGCAAGCAGACCTCTGAAAACTGAAAAATGCAAAAGCCAGTTTTTCTCAAAGTGACAAACGTGTCACATATTTATGATGTATGTGTGTATTCCAGTAAAACTACTAGGTAGTTGGAACAGGAGATAGGATGGATTTTACTCACAGCCATGGTTTGCCAACCCCTGCTCTACACCACAAGCCCCCTCTGATTTAAGAAATGATTTCTAAATCTTACTGGTGGCTAATGACTAGCCTTTTGTGACAGTTAGAAAAAGTACATGAAAGTTGCTACTATATGTTACCTGCTTTCATGAAAATTTAGAGTATTTTTGTTAGCTGATTATAAGAACTCTAGTTTCCATTGATGTCTAAGTTTTGCTTTCCTTAAATGGCTGGTTTAAAAATTTATTTTGGTTATTCTAGTAGTTGTCAGGGTAATCTTTTTTTAAAGTGATTTTTGGCCTATTGTTAGAGGCAAATGTTTAAATTATTTAAAAGTTTTAGGTCTGCTGTCTAGGAGCCAGGGCTTGGAGTCAGACACCTTAGAAATGCACCTGATGCTCTCTGTTCTACTGTGGTGAACTGGCATGGAAACCACTGTGGTGACTAAGCATATGCTTGAAATTCTAAGCAACATCCAATGCATAAGTGATTGTCAGGATTTTGTAAGAACTCCCACTATGGTCAAATCACCTATTGTACCGTATTTTGGTGACCATCCCCATTTCTCAAGGTTCTGTGGGCCGAGCACGGTGGCTCATGACTGTAATTCCAGCACTTTGGGAGGCCGAGGTGGGCGGATCAGGAGGTCAGGAGATCGAGCTCATCCTGGCTAACACGGTGAAACCCTGTCTCTACTAAAAATACAAAAAATGAGCCGGGCGTGGTGTCGGGCGCCTGTAGTTCCAGCTACTCGGGAGGCTAAGGCAGGAGAATGGCGTAACCCGGGAGGCGGAGCTTGCTGTGAGCCAAGATTGTGCCACTGCACTCCAACCTGGGTGACAGAGTGAGACTCTGTCTCAAAAAAAAAAAAAAAAAAAGATTCTGTAAAGGTGCTTTTCCCACCTGTTCGGACACCCTGGATGCCCATTGTCTAAGTGTTCTACTTGATACACTCAATTTTAATTCATGTGTTTGTCAGAGCTTCTTTAGATGAAATTAAGCATTGAAAGATAGGTTTTCACTGCATTCTGTCTCTGTCAGAATATATTCTCTGAAAACTTTGTGAATTATGAGAAGAAAATTTTATATCCTAAGCTGCTCTCTGCTACCCAGTACAACTTCAGACTATTTTATACACTAATGAGCAGTATATGCAAAATTAAATTGCTGTAAGTTTTATTACATTCAAAATATAAGTAGGAATGTGGAAACTGCCATCCCCAAAATAATTGATGCTGTTTTGAGTCGTGTATATCAGTGTTCCGTCTAGTAAGTACTGAGATTTCAATTTGCCGATAAGATTTTTTTAGTCTATTATTTATTTTTAAATCTTTTAAACTATTGTTTAAATTTAAAGGGCCCGGACAAAAATAGTTTATTCTACATATAGTCGAAAATCTGCCAAAGAAGTAAGAGATAAATTGTTGGAGTTACATGTGAATTATTGTGTTTTAGAAGAGGCATGGTGTGTTGTGAGAACTAAGTGAGTATTAACCCTATGCTATCTGATATGGTATATTTTTAAGCAACATGTTTCAGTTTATTACAGTAGTCCTGATTCTTTAAGAATTTTTATTTTAAATTTATTAAAATATCCTGGTATCTTAGTTTAAATTATTTCATCTAGAGAAGTAAAACTATGTTATCAATGAAGAAGAATTTAATTCCAAACATTATAGTATACTTTAATATCCTGATTTTTCAATTTAACATCTTCAACTTAGCTTTTTTCATAATTTTTGAAATATTTATGAAAATTTTTATTAGATATCTGAAATATGGATTTGAATTCACAACAAAGTGAGATATTGGCATTCTGTACTATATAGCTGAATTATATTGGATTTGTAAGACTTAAAAGAAAAGTGACAAAACCCAAAATGACATAAGAAAAACATTCCCAATTAAAATTTTTTAATCTCTGAATTTTGAATCTCTAAAAATCATAAAATTCTAAGATATGTAATTGATCTTTTGAGGCCTTTGTTTAGGCTCCTAAGCAGAGATATTAGCTCCTGCACATGACAGGAAATTTAGGCACATTAATTGTCTCCTAGAACAGTACATTAGCAATCAGAAGAACAAAACAGGTTCTACAGTCACTTCAATATATCATTTGCAATGTGCAAAAGGTTTCAGAGATGCAAACTAAAATGAGAGAGTATGACCAATACTCTGAAAAAAATAAGTTAATAGAAACCGATCCAAGTAGGTCCAGATGTTGGATTTAGCAGCCAAAGATTGCAAAGCCACTATTACAAATACATTCAAAGGCTTAAGAAAAATATATTCAATGGATTAAAAGAAAACATGGTATCCATGAGTGAAGAGATGTGGAATCTCAGCAGAGAAATAGAAACACTCCAGCCCGCATGGAAATTCTAGAGCTGAAAAGTATAATAAATGAAATGAAAATTATTTAAATGTACTCAACAATTTTGAGATGAAAACAGAACATTTGAACAGAAAATTCAGTGAATTTGAAGATAGATCAAGACAGAATAGTTAATCAAAAGAACAGAACCAAAAATATTGAAAAATAACCAATGTCACAGACCTGTGTAACATTAAGTAGTTCAACACATGTATAATTTTAGTATTAGATGTAATGAAAAAAAGAACATGAAGGAAAAAATATTGAAGAAATGTTGGCCAAAAATTTCTCAAGTTTGATGAAAGCTACTAACTTAAAGATCTGCTAAGCTCAACAAATCCAACTGGGTTAAGCCCAAAGAAAACCAAAGCAAGGCACATTATAGTCAAAGTGGTAAAATCAAAGATTAAGAGAAAATCTTGAAGAGAAAAAATGATATGCTATATAAACATCTGACTTATCAACATAAATGGTGGAAATTAACAGACACTGGAATGATAATTCAAAGTGCTGAAGAAGGAAAATCAAGAATTCTATATTTAATGAAAGTATCTTTTTAAAATGGAGGCCAAAAGTACATTTTTCCGATCAACAAAATCTAAGATAATTTGTTGGTAACAGATTTATACTTCAAGATGGACAAGAAGTTCTATCAGCTGATGAGAAATGATGCCAGATGGTAACTCAGATATACAAGAAATACCGAAATGCGCTGGAAATGGTAAATATGTGGATATTAATCACTACACATTTTCTTCTCTGAACATCTTTAGAAGATATTATTTAAGGCAAAGGTGATACCATTATATTTTTTAGTTTATGATAGAAATTAAATATACATGACAACAGCACAAAAATTGAGTAAATGGAAATGTATGATTTACTAGAAATAACCCAATTTAAATGGTAAGTAAATCATGATATGTTGGCCAGGCGCAGTGGCTCATGCCTGTAATCCCAGCACTTTGGGAGTCCGAGGCAGGCAGATCACGAGGTCAAGAGATTGAGACCATCCTGGCTAACACGGTGAAGCCCTGTCTCTACTAAAAATACAAAAAATTAGCCGGGCATGGTGGCGGGTGCTTGTAGTCCCAGCTACTTGGGAGGCTGAGGCAGTAGAATGGCGTGAACCCAGGGGGCAAAGCTTGCAGTGAGCCGAGATTGCGCCACTGCACTCCAGCCTGGGTGACACAGCAAGACTCCGTCTCAAAAAAAAAAAAAAAACAAAAACAAAAAAACAAAACATGTTAAAGATGCTTGTTGTCATCCCTAACAAAAACCACTAAAAAAATAAATAAAACTGGGGCGGGGAGGGAGATCATAATGGCAAGCCTAGACATGGATTAACCTGGATGCATTAAGTGAAATAAGTCAGCCACAGTAAGATGAATAGTGCATATTTTCACTCATGTGAAAGCTAAAAGAAGTAGCTCATAGAAGTAGAGTAGAATTGTGGTAATTAGAGGCTAGGTGGGAAGGGTAAGGAGGAGGAGAAGATAAGGAGAGGGTGGTTAAGAGATACAAAATTAGAGATAAATAGAAGGAATAAGATCTAGTGTTCTCTGGCACTGTAGAGTGAATATTAGTTAACAGTAATTTATCGTATATGTCAAGTAAGCCAGAACAGAGGATTCTGAATGTTCCCAGCACAAACAGGTGGTAAGCATTTGAGGTGATGGATATCCTAATTACCCTGATTTGATCATTACACATTGTAATTATGCACTGAAATATCACTCTATACTCCATAAATATGTGCAAGTATTACTTGTCAACTAAAAGTAAAAGGGGAAAAAACATAAACATACAACCAACTTAAGACCCAGCAACTGTACTGGGCATTTTTTTGCAGACAGGTGAAAAGTTGTGTTCATACAAAATTCTGTAGAAAAATGTCTATAGCAGCTTTATTTGTAATAGCCTAAACCTGAAACAACCCAGGTGTTTTTCACAAGATGAATGGTTAAATAATAGTGATCTATTCATACCATGGAATACCGCTCAGCAATAGGATCAGACTATTGATACACTCAAGATCCTGGATGGATCTCCAGAGAATTGTTTGAATGCAGAAAAGACAATACCCAAAGGTTACATACTGTATGATTCCATTTATATAACTGTCTTCAAATGACAAAACTATAAATGTGGATAATGATTTGTGGTTGCGAGGGGTTAGGGTGGGGTGGGAATGTGGGGGAAGTATAGTATGTGTGGCCATACAAGCCATCTCCGTGGTGATGGAAATGCTCTCTGTCGCCATTCTATCAATGTGAATTATCTGGCTGTGATATTATACAAATGTTCAAGATGTTACCATGGCGGGGGACACTGTCTAAAGACTGTACAAGAACTACTTGTATTATCTCTCACTTAATGTGGATCTCCAAATGTCTTGAAATAAAGTTTTTTTTTAAAAAAAAGCAAAAGAGCACAATAGCAAGCCTATATCAAACCATATCAGCAATTTCAAAGTGAAAGAGGACTAAATTCTTCCAAACAAAAGGCGGAGATTGGCAAACTGAATATAAGAGCAAAACCTATCTATGGGCTGCCTGCAAGAGGTGCATTTTAAATGCAAATATGTATATTGGCTGAAGGAAAAAGAATGGAAAAGATATCATGTGAGTAAACATTAGAAAGCTGAAGTGAAAAATGTATAAATATCAGATAAGATAGATGTTAAGACAAAGAATATTATGGAAATGACTATGTTTTATAATGCAGAATAGTTCAGTACAGGAGAAAGATGTAATAATTTGAGTGCATATGAACTTAAAAGAGAATTTCAAAATATATGAAGCAAAAATTGACAGAACCCAAAAGGCAACAAACAAGATTAAAATGGAATTATAAAAATCACTCAATCCAAAATAAGACAGAAGAAGTGGAAAAGGGAGACAAAGATGGAACAAAGAGAAAACACCGAGATGATAGACTTAAATCTAACGATATCAATTATCACATTAAGTGTAAATGGACTTGTGGTAGGCTGAATAATGAGCCCCCCACGATGGCCATGTCCTAACTCCCAGAAATTGTGAATTACCTTACTCACATGGAAAAAGGAAATTTGCAAATGTGATTAAATTAATGCTCATGAGATGTGGAGATTATCCTTATTATCCAGGTAGGACAGATGTAATCACGAAGTCTTTATAAGGAGGAGGCAAAAGAGTAAGAGATCAAAAAGGTGATGTGATGGTAGAAGCAGAAGTTGGAGTGATATAAGGCCACGAGCCAAGGAATGAGGCCAGCTTCTAGGAGCTGGAAAAGGCAAGGAAGTGGATTTTCTTCTCGAACCTCCTGAAGGATTGGAGTCCTGCCAATACCATGATTTTAGAATTATGAGCTCCAAAATTTGAAAGAGAATAAATACATGTTGCTTTAAGCAACTATTTATGGTACTTTGCTGTAGCAGCAATAGGAAACTAATATAGCTCTAAACACCACAAATGAAAAGCAAGAATTGTCAGATTGCATAGCAAAGCAAGACCCTACTATAGGCTACTTTCAAAAAATTTATTTAAATATAAAGAAGATGTTAAAAGTTAACAGATAGGAAAGGGACATGTGATGCTACTACTAGTCAGTGAAAGCTGGAGTGGCTGTAATAACATCAAAGTACATTCTAATGTTAAGAATATTATCAAGGTTAAACAAGGATTTTTAAATGAAGGGATTTATATTTCAAGAGGATGTAGCAACCCTGAACATTTATGCACTCAGATAACAAAGCTTCAAATATATGAAGCACAATTGATAGAACTTTAGGAAAAAATAGACAAATCTACAGTATAGTTAGAAATTTTAATAGCCGTCTCTAAATAATTTGTAGAATAAAAAGAAATCCAGCAAGAATACAGAAGACTTGAATAACGCCATCAACCATTATGACCTAATTGATATTTATAGTACACACCACCCTAGAACAGCAAAGTAGACATTCAAGCACACACAGACTATTTATCAAAAAAGATCAGTTTCTAGGCCACAAAACAAGTATTGACACATTTAAAATACTTTAGGTCGTGTAA